TGATGCAGTTTGCTCACTAATGTTCCCTAATAAACCTCTCAGGCCTTCACAGATAAACTGGATTTATACTGGGGGGGAAAAAATTGCCCGCATAACTTTGTGTACCAATCAAATAACTTTTTAAGAAATCTGGTTGTGTTAAACTCTATAATGATGTTTTCACAGCAGAAGGGCCTTAATTCATTCCACAATTTTTATATCTTTATTTGCAAAAAGAAGTTTGAAGATCAGTCATGATTTTTCTCCTACTTCACAATTCAACAGAGCAAAAACAAATACAACTAAAGCAACAATATGACCTCTTTTAAATCTAAGCCTCATTTTTTATTTGATAACAAAAATTGCTCTTCATTGCTCCTCTTGGTAAAGAAGAAACTGTATTCATGTATGTAAAAATAAAAAAATACTATAAACCACTGTTGTTTCCCAAAACATTAAGATGATTTTTAGCCTACAGAAATTGAGGGTTAATTGCAGCTGATTACAAGATTATTGAAGGAACCAAAGTGAAATAAAATTATAATAAAGTATGTTAAACAAAATCATAAAAACAGTCAGGCATAGTGACGGAAAGCTGATAATACTGACTTATTTTGCAGATTTATGACCCTTCCTGCAGGGATAGTACGGTTCTAGAGTTAAATTTGAAGCCATTTGTTCCTTAGCTGAAGCGTCAGCAAAACTGGGTCATCCAGCAGGACATTGACCGCAAAAATAAATCACGGCTGAACGCTTGAAAAAAAAAAAGACTGATCAATTTAAGTCCAAATGACTTGAAATTAAAAATTCGCTTCTTATCATATTCTCTTCGGACTTGATGAAAGTGTTACTACTACCGCACTCCAGCTGAGAAGTCAAACACCAAGATCTAGTCAAAAGGTCAACGTGTTTTGTGTGAACCCACCAGGGAAGTTTCACCACAGGTTACAGAGGAGCTGACCCCAGACTCTAATCACCAGCAGCAGATGAACAAGTGCAGGAAAACACAGCAGGAGTCCAGGAAACAGGGAGAGACTGCTTACAGAGCAGTCTGTTCTGAAAGCGTGGGAGGCTCTCTGAAGAAGTGGACGTCTGTTTGAAAAGAACTGATAAAAACATGAGGCTGCTTCCGCAGAGAGTTCCTTTTTCCCTGTAAATCATCCAGAGTAGCTAATTTATGTGACAAAAGGGCAAGTCATAATAGATCATTGCTAAAAAAAAAAGAAAGTATATTCATAAAAAGTTTAGTGGAAGAAAAAATAGTGGTAGGAAAAATGGGCAACAGAGATAACCACAGCCTTCAGAATTTGTCTCGTCTGTAAACTATAATCACAAAAGATTACAAGAAATAAAGACTTGAAATATCAATGTCCATGTGAACAAATTATCAACATAAACACCTCAAAGCCTGGATTTTAATCTAAACTTTATCATGGCTTTGTTATTATTTCCAAGATAAAAGCAGTTGCCCCCAAAAAGTTTCTTCAAATAAATAAATCTAAAAATGAGCCAGTCTTCTACATACATTATTGAAAGAAGTTGATCTATGTCTTTGAAAATTTCTTTTCAAAAAGTCTAGCTTTATTTTATTTTTATTTTTTTCAAGATATGGTAATTGAATCATACATAAAAATTTATCTACCTCTTCTGGCATTCCCAAGACATTATTTTTGTATGTTTTCAGACACTCCACCAGCTGTTGCTTTGATCAACATAGTCCCCAGAATTCAAATTCTGAATGCTCTAAATAATCAAACAAAAAGCATGGGCAAATATATTCACAAACATGCTACAATTTGGGGATTTTTTTTTTCTTTTGCGTCTCCTCGCAAAACTTTTGCGTGCCCTCGCAAAAGAAAACAAATTCCCCATGTCGCCTAGGGGGCTCCGTAAATTTCAGATTAAATGTTCGGAAATATTAAAAAAAATTAAAGCTGCAAGCAGCCTCGAACGGCCCTCGCAGCCAAGCGCCGCTCCGGCCTATTGCCACCGCGGGGTACGAGCAACCGCCGCCTCACGCCAGCCACCACAGAAGCTGTCACGCAGTTTTCAGCTCCTCCGCCCGCACCGCGGAAGCTGTTGCTCAGTTTCCATCAACGCTGGCCATGTGCTAACACAGAAGTTGTTGCGCAGTTTCCGCGCCCGTCCACCAGGCGGTACGCACTGATGCGTTGGGAGGCGCTCCTTGACGATGCAAAAAATGTGTTGCAGATTCATTGGTTTAGCGAGGAAATATAGCTGGCGGATTAATGTAGGACGCGCAGTGGAGTCAAAATATATTTCAATGCTGTTGTTCTTTTTAGAGGTCAACAAAGGTCATACATATCCAATTTGGCGTCAGTCGGATGATCCACGTGTCATTTACAGCCGATCGTATGCACATGGCGAAGTACTACAGTTCGTCATTTTTCATCATTTTCAGCTGTGTTTCTAAAGCACTCTATTTCATTGTTGGAGTAATACTTACTCAGAGTGGCGAATTACTGAAATGGTTTGGAAGAAGTAAGAAAACGCTACATTTACTGCATGATTTAATTCCACAAAAATTATCTGAGACATTTCTATCCTTTTAGAAATTTCATTGCAACGCTCTCACAAAGTTTTCGCGCCCATCCGCCCGTGGATCTGTTTGTCATTGGTGGAGGAACACTGACACCTACTGGCGAAATACTGATATTGTTCTTCATCCTGTTTATCTGCTGTTTCATTTGTGGAGCAATACTGACCCCAAGTGGCAAATTACTGAAATGGTTTATAAACGCCAAAAATGGGATCAAAATCTGAACTTCAATCTAAAATGGCCGACTTCCTCTGGGGTTTAGACCATGGCTCCAAGAGACTTTTTTGTAAGTCCTGACATGGTACACATGTGTACAAAGTTTCGTAATTGTAGGTTAAAGCATGGCTTGGGGCTTATCATTTAAAATTTTCTAGGGGGCGCTATAGAGAAATTAGGCCACACCCTACAAATATTGTGATGGATTCCTGTCGGGGAGTGGATGAAGATCCATCCTTGTGAGTTTGGAGAAGCTGCGCCCAAAAATGTGGAATTGAGAGCCAAACGTATGGCGATGGCGTTACAGGTCACTTCGCCACGCCGCCACGCCCAGCTCCTCCATCGAAGCTGGTCGGGGTTGGAATCCTCAACACACCAACATGTCTTCTGTGTCTGGGCACAGTTTCATGTTGATGAGGTCAAAGGTGTCAGATAGCGACCATTCAAAGTAAAACATGACACTTCCTTTTCTCAGGGGGCGTGGCCTAAGTGATGTCTCATTCGACCATAGGGTATTGTAGGACACCCGATGATGATCAATCACAGAAACTTTGGTGCCTCTGTGAGTTTCTGTGTAGGAGATATAGCAGTTTATTTTTTTACGGCGAGTAGGTGAACTTTGACCCCTGCTAACCCCCCTTCAGCATTCTCAAAAACTCACCATTTTGATAACTTTAGATGGGACATGCCTTATGAGCAGACTGACCGAGTTTGAAGCCGATCAATCGAAATCCCTAGGAGGAGTTCGATCAAATACAGAGGCTTTAAACGGCAAAATGGAGTCAAAATCTGAACTTCAATCTAAAATGGCCGACTTCCTGTGGGGTTTAGACCATGGCTCCAAGAGACTTTTTTGTAAGTCCTGACATGGTACACACGTGTACAAAGTTTCGTAATTGTAGGTTAAAGCATGGCTTGGGGCTGATCATTTAAAATTTTCTAGGGGGCGCTATAGATAAATTAGGCCACACCCTACAAATATTGTGATGTATTCCTGTCGGGGAGTGGATGATAATCCATCCTTGTGAGTTTGGAGCAGCTGTGGCCAAAAATGTGGAATTGAGAGCCAAACGTATGGCGATGGCGTTACAGGTCACTTCGCCACGCCGCCACGCCCAGCTGCTCAATCGAAGCTGGTCGGGGTTGGAATCGTCAACACACCAACATGTCTTCTGTGTCTGGGCACAGTTTCATGTTGATGAGGTCAAAGGGGTCAGATAGCGACCGTCCACAGTAAAACATTACACTTCCTGTTGTCATGGGGCGTGGCCTACGTGATGTCATCCTTCGACCATAGGGTATTGTGTAGACCCGATGATGATCAATCACAGAAACTTTGGTGCCTCTGTGAGTTTCTGTGTAGGAGATATAGCAGTTTATTTTTTTATGGCGAGTAGGTGAACTTTGACCCCTGCTAACCCCCCTTCAGCATACTCAAAAACTCACCGTTTTGATAACTTTAGATGGGACATGCCTTATGAACAGACTGACTGAGTTTGAAGCCGATCAATCGAAATCCCTAGGAGGAGTTCGATCAAATACGGAGGCTGTAACGGCAAAAATGGCCTCAAAATTGGACCTTCAATCCAAAATGGCTGACTTCCTGTGATACTTGCACTATGACATTAATTGTAAATTTTGAGCATCTTGGGGAGCTCTACAAGTGTACCAAATTTCATGTCTCTAGGATAAATTAAGTGAATAGCAAAGGGTCCTTTGAAAATTTGTAGGTGGCGCTATTGAGCCATTTTTTATGGGATTTTTGCAAAGACCTTAAAATACAAAATTTTGAAACTCCCTTTACGCGTCCGCCAAGTTTGGTGAGTTTTTGAAAATGATAAAGCCCCCAAAAAGGCCCCTCTTTAGGGGGGCAGAATAATAATAATAATAAGAAACAGTAGGAAAACAATAGGCCTTCGCAGCGCTTAGCTGCTCGGGCCTAAAAAAAAAACATGTATATTAACTAAAACGTATGTGTTATGCGTCTTGGTGAAAAATGGGAAATTTGCTCCTGAATTCCCGGCCGATATTTGTAAAGAAAATATTTGCAGAGACGAGGCAAAAAAAAAATACACAACTTTAATTAAACCGAAAGAAAACTGGTCTTAAGAAAACATTTGTTCTATGTGCTCACGCTGGCCAGCATTTCTCGTGTCAATAAACCAGCGGTGGTGTTGAGTAACATGCCGTGTCTGCAGAGCTGGCTGAGGGTGAGCCGTGATTGGCCAGTCACGGTGGGCGTTTCCGCATTCCAAACAAAGCTGACTGCAGGAGTTCATCAGAGGCAGTCGCGTCTTTGAAGGCACCTCTCGAGTCATTCCCAGGGGATAACAGGACCAAAGCCAAGGGGCAGGGATGCCTTACATGCTCATCAGCACGCAGATCCGACTGGTGTGTATATCCTGTATAAATAACTCGTGCCTTGCTTTTACAGAAGCATTGCTTGGATTGGAGATTGCCGGATTTATTTAGCCTCAGCGGCACCCAGTGTTTTACTTATCAATCATAGTTGTCACTTGAACCTAATATTTATCTGGAGGCCTCTTATTTTCTGCGTGCAGAGGAAAACAGACGAGCCTCTAAAGTGTATGGAGCTCCAACAGTGGCACAATTCAAACCATAGTCAAATTGTTAAGTTAAATTTGAAAACAAATAACTGTTAATTCATTAAATACGCTGCTGGTGATTTATTAGTTTTATCTTTGAAATCGACATGTAGCTATTTCTGTATTTAAATAGATATGTAGTTACTTTCTGGATGAATGGATCAGCACACATACATTTTCCCATATTCACAGTCACAGAGCAAGTCTCCTCTGAATATAATTGGCCAAGCTCTGCAGGGTAACCAATGAAATGTTATGGGGGTTTTTATTGGGCAAGATAAAAGTTTAAATTTTTCACAGTGCACCACAGGGTACAAATGGCAAAATAATTGTTCTTTTATACAGTTTTACTGACTTCAAATGTTAATAAGTATTAAAATGCATTTTAATGAATTAGAATATCATATAAAGGTTCATTTATTCTGTTAATCAGTCCAAAAAGTGAAACTCATTTATTAAGTAAATTCATCGTACCTAGATGGATATCATTTCAAGTCATATTCTTAACAACAAATGAAAACCCAAAATGTAATATTCAAAAAATGTGTTCAAATTACATAAGACAAAATATTTTTTAATATCTTGCTCTTGACCAAATCAAACAAATTATCTGCAGGATTTAGGTAAGGCCAGTTTACTGACCAATCAGCACAGTAATATCACCATTATCAAATCAAAATCAGGTGTTTGTGCTTTTCCCTGTGTGCGCTGCCGCCGAGTCAGCTGGAAAATGAATGTAACGCCTCTATAAGATGGTCAACAGAGAGAAGTCCTCTGGAAAGTCTCCCCAAATCATCACTGACTGTGGAAATCCCATAGTAGAAGTAAAGAAAACTCCCATGTTGCTCTTCACTCTTCCACCAGACTCTGGGACCTTCATCTACAAATAATATACAAAATGAACTCTAATTTGAGAAGAGATCTTCTCAAATCAGACTAAAGAACCTACTGAGCAGTAGGTTCTGTAGTCAAGCTTTTTATCTGTCTCCCTTGTGGAACAAAATGCCTTGGTCAGAGGGACACACCATGCAGACATATTGTGCACTTACACAACATCCAAGCATAGATTAGTAAAGACATTAAAAGTGTAGCCCATGAAGAACTCTTTCCACACTGTCTCTGACTCATGCGTGGCTTAAGTAAAATAATGGAACACTTTTAATTTGAGGTTTCGCTTTAGGCAGCGACTCCAACTTCAGTCAATGTGCGTCTCCCCCAAACTCCTGAATTGGTGTTGCTTCACCGTCCTCTCATGGCCATCAATTGTATTTGTGCATCTTTTTCTGCCGCACTTTTTCCTTTTGTTAGAGTTTTTAACAGGTTTGAAAAAGGCACTCTGTAAACAGGAGGCATAGTTTAACAGTGACTCTTTGTAAAAGGTCTCAGTGCCTGTCTGCAGGACAAAATCAAGGTCGCCCACGGTGGTGTCGCCCATAACGAGACCAGATCATACTATTTCTGGTATTAAATTTATTTTTCTCTAAATGGTTATCAGAGAAATTGAAATCTTGGTCTGTGACAGATTGATAATCTGTTAAAGTCCTCATCAGTCCATGCCCACAACCATAAAAAGGTAAGCTGGTTGTAGTGAGTGGATGAATTTTGGGTTTTCATTAGCTGTAAGTTACAGAAATATGATTTATGATATGACATTTAGCTATTCATGAAATAAGTGCATTTAGTTCCAATTTAATTTTATTTGTAGTATATGTAAAAGCAAATTCATTTTATTTACTGTCCTTTTGCACATTTGGCACCTTACACAGCTTGAAAAAGGAGCCTTTTTAAATGTATTTCTTGCCATTGTCTTAAATACTGTTGCACATATTGCATCTGTTTCTATTTCTTTTGTTATGCATGTTCATTTCCCAGCCTGCTCAGCTCCAGCAACCTAATTCTATAGCCTCTGAGTATTAGATCATCTATTTTTAGCCTGCCCTGATATTATTACTGTTTATTATCCTGTACCTGCCAGAGGTCTGCATCGAAGCGACAGTTGCATAAATAATAGCCAGAGACATTCATTTAGAAAATCAAACTGTTGATGGATATCAAATCATTGTTTTTCAGGAGTGTGGTCCAACGAATGTAGGAGACGAATTTTCTGATCCATCTGTCATGAGTTACCTGGGGGCGAGAAAAACAACCATGCTGGGAAACAATTTGTGAGTGGCTGCAAATGGAAACACTTATGGTGTTTTGTGACATGCTGCAGATAAATTTGGGGTTAAAACTATCCTGTGAAACTTCGTATATCTCCGCCATCATCTGACAAACTGAAAAGCGTAATCTCTAAAGACACTGTTCTAATGCTGACCTCCACAGACGTGCAGAGCTGAGCTGGATTGGTGAAAATCTGCTCTCGCAGGGCCATATTTCTCAATTTTGACAGTTAAAAGTGGGTGTCTCTTTCTTTTTGGCTGTTAAAGCACACATATTGACAGCAGAGCTGAGATCAAGTCAATTGGCTGGAACAAAAAAAGTGTGCTTGAGGAAAGCTTCTGCTTCACAGATTGAGAGTAAACCATTCAAGGTGATGGGTTACAGAACAGGGAAGTGTTGTCATTGGCAATCTGATTCAGATCCTTCTGGGAAATGAACCAAGGTGTGGAAGGAAGTGAATGAGCACCAGAACACTTAGCAGCCATGTACTTTCCAAGCAGAGTTTACTGAAAGAGAGAAATCCCACATCTGCGGAAGGCAGAATTACTTTGTTTATGCTTATTTTAGTTCTGAATACCATGTGGACGACCCACCTCGCCTGGTGCTGGACAAGCTGGAGAAGATCGGCTTCCGCGTGCTGTCGATGACGGGAGTGGGACAGACACTGGTGTGGTGTCTCCACAAACAGATGGAGTGATTTATCGCCTTATAGCCTTTTTTGCTTTATGTTATGATGCCTTTACCACCACAGATGAGAAAAAGCAACTTTAGAGCTGAGGAAATCTTTTTTATAAGGCTTCAGATTGACCGGGTTCCCTGGTTGATGGTGTGATGGAACCACATTCCAGAGATTTTATTGAACCATTTGTTAGTAATGTTGTTTACTGCAGGTGTGTTGAAACTATTTGTCCATATGAGGTCAGAGAACCTTTTTGCACATTCAATTAGCATTTTGTTCATGAATAAATAATGTGGAGATCTGAAATGTTTTTAACAATAAATAATAAATGCATGCATTTTAACAATAACCAATCCATTGTTATCTAACAATAAAAACATTCGTTGCTTCACCTTGCGTAGCAAAAGCATTTACTTTGTCACAATCCCAAACGTCAGTGTCATTCATTAGGATTTCATGTTATGCACTCATACAAAGAAAAATGTCAGCATAAAAACTATACTTAGCTTGTGTATTCAACCCCCTTTATCCTGATGCTTCTAAATAAGGTCAGTAAGAAGTAGGATGGAGTCCATCCATGTAATTTAATCTCATAAATGCATAAATGTAGAGAGTAAAGCATATCTATTCTTCTTAAGTATTATTATAAGGAAGAACATTAATAAGAGAAGAGTAAAAAATGTCTGGTAACTCTGGAGGAGCTGTGGATGCTACACAGCCCAACTGAGATATTTTGTCGATATAACTCTTTAGAATGAGTTTACAGTTGACTGCAAGTGTTTTAGGGGAAAAACAAATCTGTAGAAGAGACGTGACCATAACTGAACTTTCTATCCTGCATACAAAATGTTACTATCTGTAAAAGAAAATAAGCACTGTGCATCACCCAGATCAACATTTGGTGGTGGTAGCGTCATGCTGTAAGGAAACAACTAATCAGACCCAAAACTATGTGTAGTGATGAACTTTGATGTGAATCTGCGGACAAAAAGACAATTACAAAGTCAGCCTTTTATCATTTCAAGAGCATTTCCAGGGTTTAAAGACTAATGTCTCAACAAGACCTTGAAAAACTCATCCATGCCTAAAGACAACCATACAGCTGCGGTTCAACCTGAACACTGCTGCATGCGTTCTCACTGAAGCCAGGAAGACACAGTCCTTATTCTGACCTCTTGCAGCTCAGAGAATACGCTTTAAAATATTTTTGTTGATTTATAAATCACTAAATGGCTCAGCACAAAAATATATTAAAGAGCTGCTGTTGTTGAATCAACTTTCCACATCACTTGGTTCTTCTGGTTCAAGTAACCATCAGAATCATATCCAAACATGGAGAAGCAACATTTAGTTAGTTAAGCTATTCTAATCTGGAACAAACCTCCAGAAAACTGCGTTGACGGCTTGATTTGAGAAAGCTTTTCTTCAGCTGGAACAGAGACGCTGGCAGAGGTTGTCGTCCTTCAAGCAGGACGACAACAACGTCCAGATCAAAGCAAATTGATTAGAACGACCCAATAAAACTCCAGACATAAACCCACTTGCGGCAAAATATAAAACTTATTCTTCTGCAGCATTGAACTGTTTTGTAAAGAATAGCAAAAAGTGAAAAAATAATTGTCAAAAGTTTCAGATATATTTTTTTAATTTGGAAAACCATGTGTATGTTTTCATTTTCACATAAAGAATAAACCACCTTATCACATGTCCCTGTCAGAATCATAATAAAATAGATCACAGCTTGTGATTTTAATATGACAAAACTTAAACTTTAAAGGATATGGACCCTTTTGTTAGGATCTGTACGTGCAGAATCTTGTAAGCCACCCATCATGCACAGAACTTGATAAACATACATCCCACCCTGAAAATATCCTTTATAATTTAGGATAAGACACTTGCATGTCAGGCATGAGAAAGCCTGCCGACAGCAGCCAAAAAACACGAGGTGGTTTCATATGAGCCCTGTGTCTCCCAGCGTGTGTTTGGGTCCAGCCCAGATCATTAACCTGAAGCCCAGATTCATTGCCAGGCAAACTCTAACTAGACCTGCTGCTTAATACATAATATTGCTTCCTTCTCCAAGTTGAAGATGAAGCAGAGAACTATCATCCTCAGATAGGAAGGCTGTGATGCTATGAAGACATTAAATCTTTCCTGAGAAGGATACTGTAACAAGGTCTTCCTCCCTGGATGGTTTGCATGCAGCAGCAGAAACCACTGTTGGTTTTGGGCAGTTTTGGTGGTGAATGTGTTTCCTGTGACTGTATTTCCTCTGTTGTCATTCAGACAAAGGTGGTGTGTTTCTGATTTTTTATTTTTTATTTTTTTATCACATTGCTGGGGTAGAGGAGAAGGATACACACAAACAAAACCATGTTATGAAGGGATTTTGCGGGAGGAGAGGAGCAGATGTCTCCCACCACTAACAGCTGGACGTTGTGTAATAGAGCTGTGGAGAAGCAGCGCAGGAGTGGTAGGGGGATGCATGACTGGATTGGTTGTTGTGAAGCTTCCATGTGGCTCCTAAATAACACAATGACAGGACAAAGAGAAGTAGACACACCATAACACCAGAGAGACGAGGAAAACAGACTGTTCTGGCAAGATGTATGTTCCCAAGCAAGAAGATTCTGTTACAAAACTCATGGTGACCACAACAAGGACTGACCGAATATGTGTCAAAGAATGGTAGCGTGTCACTTAGCAGAGCATAAATAAGCAAAACCTCTGCAGGATTTTGTATGTTGCATAAGACTATTGCGAAATATCTAGAAACAACAAATCAAAATTTGTCAGTGTCAATATCAAGGGGCAGAACACATATTTCAAAATGTGTTTTTTAATTTAGCACGCTCTGCGGCCAGTGTCATGATCCAACAAAAGCGAAGTTGGAGTGAAAGTGTGTGAATGGAAACCCAGAAGTGCAAAAACACAAATGTTATTGCAGAATGTTGGCTTTACATCCTGTAAAAACAGAAAATATGAAAAGGTCGGGGCCTATGTCCTGAGTAGTACAAGGAGTACTGAGCCTGAGGTGAACATCAATCAACAATGCAAGTCTCCCAACAAAAACAGCTTTTAAATAATCCCGAAACAACAATTCAGTGGATATAGAAAGAACATGCAGTTAAGGGCTTTGTTGATCATAAGCCCTAATTCAAAGCATATTTTCAAGAAACATTCAAAAATAAATGTTTTGCAGAGATCACATGCAAATATTAAAGCAATTAAAGTAGAGCAAGTACTGGGAGCTCAATAAACAGCACCATAAATAAATAAAAGCCAAGGCCTCCTCAGTGAGGCGAGGATATTTGGAAATAGGAAACCAGGAAGAACTATCATCCCAACCATCGAAATAAAATGGAGAGCCTCCAGAGTGAGTTTACTTTTCATCACAATGAACCCACAAGAATTCCATAAAAGCATACCTAGTGTTCCAATCACTGATTACTGGTTTAACATGGGGCAAAAATGATTTCCACAGTCACATCACACGGTCTGTGGTTTGGACTGCCCCCGACTTACCCTACAGAAGCTGATAAAGCATGCAAGCTGGAGGGAAGAAAGATTTGAACGTCAAAACTTGTTTGGTACAAGTAATGAGGTAATAACTTGTCACATTTGGCCACATAATGGTTGACTGATGAACATTACATCATAGAGCTATTTTCACAGCTTGTTTTGCTGCCGAGCCAGGCAAATCTGGCATTTTTAAAACCCAACAAGAAAAGACTAAGCACGCACTATGATGTGCCATGAACTAATGATTGTTGGTGTTGCATAGAAAAATAACCAAAACCAAAAGATTTCTCTCTGCCTGCTATGGATGGGATTTGAACAGATATCACAAAAACACATTTTATACTGAGTATGGTGATATTAGTTAATTTACATATTATCAAATATTTTACGTATCTGCATAAGTTGTGAAGAAAAAAAAATCTGAATGTAATAGTGAATTTAAATAAAATACAATTGGAAAATTAACTAAGTTCAGAAATTCAGTCCAGAAAGTGACATCCAAAATGATAAGATTTTAATTCTCTACATTCTAATGCTATTTCTTTTGCCACATGAGCATTCGCAGAAAAAAATGTTCAGTCTTTATGTTTTGAACTGAATTACAAGAAGGAAAAGGACTTTAAAATACACAAGACCACTGACAAATAGATTTTAATTCAGAAATTGTCATCCTGGGAAAAGATGCCGACTTGACATTTTTCAGCTGGAAAGTCATTGAATCTCTGCATAAGAAAAGTAGACCAATGGAAGGTAATAACTAAAGAAGCTAGGTGATCACAGTTTTGTTTACAAGCATATTACTGGAAAATTGAGTCGAAGGAAAACTGTGAAAAAAATGGTGCACAAGCTGCCAGCTGAACTGAGAGGATTGTGAAGAACATCCAGTTGTCGCGTCCTTACGGCAAAAATGATGCAGTAATTACCCCAACATTTCTGGACCAAATATCACGTTTTAATTCAGAAACTAACATTTAGGTAATGTTCCAACTTTATGAGAAACAATTTATTTTTGCTTTCTTTAGGGATTAACAGTCAGTTATGATCATCAACATTAATTTCAAGCTCCATCTCAATGATACTTGAAATGTATCTTTGCTTTTAATGAATCACTCTCATATGAGTTTCCCTTTTTGAATTCTTGAAATAAACTTTTCAATTATATATTACTTGAGATTCACCTATGTGATGATAACATTAATCCACAGGTCAAAGACCACTGACAAATCATGCATAAAACATATAAACTAATCTCAGTTTTAAAGCAAGACAGAAAACTGAATTCATAGAAGTTTTATCATTTCAAATGAACAATTACATTGTTCTATCTGGCCTTGCTGATAAGCTTTGTTTCAGTAGCTGTGTAATGTGGCTCTACATACAGCAGGTTTAACTTCTCTACATTGCACCAAGTCATACGCTATCAGTATATAGATGAAAACAAGACAAATGAAAATACTGCCTTAATTTATCAAAAAGGTTTATTTTCCACACTATGTTACAATAAAACAATAAAAGAAAAACACAAGAGGCTTTATGAAACTAAAGCTACGACTTTGCAGCCTCCTCATCATCTTCTCTCTGCATCTGCTCGATGAGCCTCTGACGTTCGGCAGCCTGCCTCATCCTCATCATCACTACCGTCTCATAGTCGCGCTCGTTTGAAAGGGAACCCTACAGAAAACACAGATGAATAGGAAAGCAGTGTTTATTCTAGTTTAGTAGACAGAGTTAAAGAAGCAGTTTTTGGCTTGGCTCGCAAAAATCCAAATGTTTGTTTTAAATATAAAAAGACACAAAGAAAGAAGCATTGTTAGGGTTCAATGGCTGATATAACAAATGGATGAACAATGGGTGAAGAGGAAAGAG